TTTGCTGTCCCCCACAGTTCAAGTCCGTATGTCCATATAGGTTTCAGTATTGTCTTGTAGATAAGTAATTTGTTTTCAATAGAAAGTTTGGATTTTCTGTTTAGTAGTCTGTATAGCTGGCCGTATCGTCGGTTGAGTTCTTGTCTTTTGAGTCTAGTATGTGGGTTCCACGTTAGTCTTCGGTCTAAATGAAAGCCAAGATACCGGACTGTGTCTGAGTAAGGAAGCTGGATGGAATTAAAGTGTACTGGTGGACAGGAACTGCGTCGGAGTGTAAAGGTAATGTGTTGGCATTTAGATTCATTAACTTTAATGCGCCAGTTATTACACCAGTGCTCAATCAAGGTGAGGTGGTTTTGGAGATTTAAGGATGCTATTTCGGGATCAGAGTTGGATGATAAGATTGCGGTGTCGTCAGCGAATGTTGCAAGAAAAGTATCGGGATGAACAGGGATGTCAGCAGTAAAGAGGATGTAAAGCACGGGACCCAAGACGCTGCCTTGGGGAACACCGGCTTTAACGGAGTAGATATTGGAAAATTCTGTTCCACAGCGAACTCGAAAGGAGCGGTCAGAGAGGTAGGATCGGAGGACTAGGTACAAGGACTGAGGTAAATGGATTTCAAGCTTGGAGAGCAGTCCGGAGTGCCATACCCGGTCAAATGCCTGTGCAATGTCCAGAAAGGCACCCGAACAGTATTCCTTGTTTTCTAGGGCTGAGGAAATATGATCAACAACTCGGAGTCCTTGTTGAACAGTAGAATGTTGAGAGCGAAAACCAAACTGATGGGAAGGGATATTTTGGGATTCTAAAATGGGTAGGATTCGTTTCAAAAGGATCTTTTCAAAAATTTTTGAAAGGATTGGGAGTAGGCTGATTGGTCTATAGGATGTTGAGCTATTGAGAGGTTTTCCTGGTTTTGGGAAAAGGATAATAGTGGAGTGTTTCCATAACAGAGGGAAGTGGGTGGTGCGTAGGATACAATTGTAGATATATGTAAGGAATATGACTGCTTTGGATGGAAGTTGTCGAAGGATTTGAGATGTAAGGAGATCATGTCCAGGAGCTTTACGGGGGATTAGTTTTTTTAATTGAAATTTTACTTCGGAAGGATGAATAGCTTTTGGGGGCAAGGAAAGTGGGATTGGTGATGTAAGGAGTTCTTCTACTGTTACGGTGTGGGCAGGATGGGATTCCGGATGTGAAATAAATGTATTGGATAGGTGAATGGCGAACTCCTCAGCTTTATCTTCGTCAGATGCTGCCCAGGAGCCATCACCTCGTCGGAGAGGATGGGAAATGCGGTGTGGATTTAGGATTTTTGTTGTGGTTTTCCAAAGGGAATTGTCACGAGAAGAGATGGAGGATAGGTAGGAGTTGAAGGATTGTGATCTGAAGGTGGCTAATTCCAGTTTTAATTGTTTGCAGTAGTAATTATAGGAGCAGCGGTCGGTAGGATATCGGGTACGTTGCCATAATAATCTGGCACGGCGTTTGGTGCGGATTAGGTTAAGGAGGTGTTGGGGTAGAATGGTCTTTATAGGAATTCTGGAGGAGTCTTTTGGGAAGGAGGCAGTCCAGGCGGCTTGTTGGATTGTGGTAGTAAAGGAATTTACGGCACTATCAAGGTCATCGGGAGTTTTGAGGGATATGTTGAGATCAATATTATCGGATATTATTTGGCGGAAAAGGTCCCAGTTTACTGGGCCCCTAATGAATGACGGTGGAGAAGGTTTGGGAACAGGTTCAAGTGAAGCATTAAGGATTAGAGGACTATGGTCAGAGGAAAGTTCATTTAGACGTGTAATGGAACAATTGAGGGGACTTAAGCCGCTGTGGATAAAGAAATCAAGAAGATCAGGATTACGGTTGGGATCTGTGGGCCAGTAGGTAGGAGAGTTGGGGGAAAGGAGGTGAAAACGTTGGGAATTGAGTGCAGACAGCAGGGTTCGGCCACGAGAATTCGTGGTTCGTGAACCCCATTGTTGGTGCTTGGCATTTAGGTCTGCACCCAAGATGAAGTGATGTCCTAAGGAGTCGAGGAGAGAACTGAATTGGGCATTGGATATGGATCGGTTAGGAGGGCAATACGCTGATGCAAGAGTAACCGGAAAGGAGAAGGTTTTTATCACGATAGCGGTGGACTGTAGGAAATCATGTATTGGTAATGGGAGTACGTGATGGGAGAGGGATTGGTGTACAATTACAGCAGTACCGGCATGTGCTTTTCCGTCAGGGTGGTCAGTACGATATGTCAGGTATTGTGGTATATTGAGGTGCTGTTTAGTGGTCAGTCGAGTTTCAGTAATTAGTGCCACATCAATGTTCTTGTCAAGTAGTAAAGTAGATAGTTCGTCTATATGATTTCTAACACCATTCGCATTCCAAAGGAGAATGGATATGGGTTTAGGGATGTGAGTCATTTAAGGATTTTTCAAAGGAGGGATGAGGTGAGATACGAGATTCGTGAGGAGTGATATGAGTGGAGTAACAAGGGATTTGAAATCGGTGAGGAAAGATGCTAACAAACTTGTGAGATCTGTTGCATTAGAAGGAGGAGGAATATGAGGAATTTGTTGTTGGTGGTTAGGTATATTAGGATGAAAAGGATTTTGAGGTTGGGGTTGAGGTTGTTGTTGTGGCAGGGCTTGACATTTATCGGTTAAAGTCTTACCTCTAAGTAGTTGGGAGAATGATACATCATTGTTTACAATTCTGGAAGGCTCTCTCTCTCTTCTTGTTCTTAGTGCTTCATCTTGAATCCGGTTTTTCTGGTGTCTGGTTTTGAGATTCTTGTAAATTTGGCAGCCTTTGTAGTTGGCCGGGTGTCCCTCCAAGCATAGGGCACATACTGCTGGATCTTGTATAGGTTTGGTGCACTCTACAGATTTGTGCTGTTCACCGCACTTCACGCAACGCGGCAAATGGTGGCAATATGACTTCGTGTGGCCATAGGTCTGACAATTATGGCACTGCACGATGTCTCTCTTGGGATATGGCTTCTCAACTTTCACCATTGTGTAGTATATTCTTGTGATATCATATATTTTTTCGATACCTGGTGATGGCTCCAAGTCCACGAAAAACAATGGTAGTGGGATCCTATTTCGTAATCCTGGCTGCTCCCTGTCCTCCTTTAAAACGTTTGTTACCTGGCGTACATTGAAACCAAGCGTCGTTAGTTCTTCTTTAATAACTTCAGTGGGGGTTGAGGAGTGTAAATTTCTTATCACTACTCGTAAAGCTCTTTCCTGCCTCAGCTGGTAAGTGTGAAAATTCGCATTTGTTTCTGATAAGTACTTCACTATTTTTCGGTAGACTTCTGCAGAATCAGGTGTTATTTTGGTTTCATTGGTCCTGTTAAGGCATGAATAACTGCCAGAGCAGATTTTATTTAGTTGGGTGCAGAACATCTGGAAATTTTTTATATTTTTCACAAATATCGGAGGAGGCTTTGGTTCTCTGGGTATTGCTGCAGACTCCATTACTTCTCTGTCATTTTGAAGCACTTGGTAGGGGTTTGGAGTAAAGAAAGGTGATTCTTCAATCGTTTCTTCTGCAGACGTACCTGGTTGGGGCTGAGGTTCTGGTTCTGAAGTGTTCATTTTGGTCACTGGAGGTATATCTCGTAGGCAGCGACGAGTCCTTTGTTTGGCTGGTGAGCTAACTCCGTCTGACCGAGACCTCTTGGGCACCTTACTGGCCATCACTTGCTGATCATACCGCATATCATAAGAGAAAAAAAATAAATAAATAAAAAAAAAAGAAATTTTTTTTTTTAAAGTAACAAAAAAAAAGATGCCAACAGTAAATATCAACTGCTCTGATATACACTTTAACTGTATCACGTGAATAATCAGAGAGATTCCGCTATAAAATTGGTAAAAACTGAGAGAGGAGTTGAGGAGACAACCTTCGCATCAGCTGATCAGTTCCAGAATGAATAACTTATACTGAAAATAATCTATGATATAAAATATTATGTCAACATTTGCTGATTACTAACGTTCACTCCATCCTATCGTTCTAAAGGTTTCATTATAATTGATGTATTACTACAGTTCAGTATTGCATAATAATATTCTATCCAATTTTAAAAATATCAATAGAAATTAAAGAAAATTAATTTAAAGCTACTTACATAAGCTTTCTTTTAAGTATAGAAGGGAATAATGTTTATTTTTATTAAGCACTCTTGACTTTTTGACCTAGGTTAATAATGTTTTGTTGAAAAGAACAAATTTAATATACCAGAACAATCCTTGCCGACTTTAGTTGATATAATTATATGTAAATCAAGTTTAATTTTTGGATGTTGTTGGCTGAATATAATCAGTAATACTTTATTTTCTAAAACCTTTTGGAATTATTTTGTGCAATAGGATGCATTAAAATATATATATATATATATATATTTTTGTGTCCTAAAATTAAACATTATGGGTTTCACTTGTTCTTTTTCGGGAAACCTCCACTATCTTTTCTCTATGTAATTATTAGAAAATCATCTACGCAAACCATTAGCTCAGTGTCCTCATTCAAAACTCAGAGACAAGAAACAAATTGCTTGTTCCAATGACTTCAGAAATTTCTCTCAAAACATTTTAAATTTACTAAAAACAACTAACTTATAGACTAGAAATCAAGAATAGTCAGATATTCTTTATTTAATTATTCAGTTCGGTATATGTACCAAATTCGAATAGAATGCAACATTAAAAAAATTCTTTAGTTTCCTATCATATCACTAAAAAAATATGCAGAACATTTCAAATGTCATCCGATTACAAACTTGTCTTATAATAGACAGCATCACCCTAATGTAATACCACCACATTATATCCCGATTTCAAAACCACGATAATCAAATACAATAGTTTAGAAAATGCTACCAAGGATGTCAAAAGATCTAAACCCCTCACTGATTAACATAAATAACTGTTATGATTATTACATGATATTCTGATGGTAACCAATAATTTTATTTATTCAATTTTCAGGATAGGAGACTCCACCAATTCGGTATTAGTAAATGGCGAGACAAGAGATATCAAAACGTTTCGGAAGCTTTCTAGGTATATCATGCAAGAGGATGTCCACCAACATTGTCTCACAGTCCTCGAGTCCTTGCAGACTGCAGCAGATCTTAAGTTGGGCAAATCTGTTTCAAAAGAAGTAAAAATGAAACAGGTATTAATTTTAATAAAAATTAGTTTTAATTTATTCTGTCCAACATGGCCAATTAGAATTTGTGAACAAATCATTATTAGTATTAAGAAATGATTATGCTATGTCTAATGTAAGATGTATTTTCTCATTTTTATTTATTTTGTTTGTATTAACTAGGATTTCATTCCCTATTTTGTGCCATGGCTTTGTTATTATTGTTAAAACATGATTTTTGTAGCATTAGCAAATTTAAGAAAGCACATTGGATTGGCAATTTTTCAGGTTCATCAAACAGTCTATCCTAAGCTATTCAAACCTAAATCTCTTCGTATTCATTTTTATTGTTTTGTATTCATATTATTATATCTTCGTATTCATATTTATTTTATTGTCTTGATATTGAAATTGTGAACGAAAACAGAAACAAATGTAATAATAAAAAAATACTTTTATTTTACAACATACATATTAAAATACACCAAAACATTATAAATATATAATTAAAAAATATTACTGTCCCATATCATGGGCACAAACTTCTCTTAAAAATTTGTTCCATGCTACGACAGTTGCGATGAATAAATTGAGCTGTTCTTTTCCCCACTGTATTGTTGTTAAATTACGGGACCACCCATAAATAAATTTTAAAGCCGTTAAAAAAGAAATCCTTGACCCCTCTAACCACGTTCCTTTCCTTATAGAAACGGTTTTGTTACAACTACGAAGAAAGCATCTCCATTTAATCTTCCCGTCAAACTTTATTTTATGACCTTCATCACAATATTTGACCTTTGCAAATATCCCGGCGTCTTGAAAATTTTTATAGCCTCTTCTTCTGAAGACGGCAATTCCAACAATGTGACAACATCCATAATTAAATAACACTAACTCACAGCTAACACAAGAAACAAAAAATAAACAAGGGAATAACTTAGGTTAGATGAGATAAGGGAGGTTATGTGAAATAAGATTAGATAAGAATGTAGGTTTTGACGCTACCCGCTACTGAATAAGTACTGTAATAGATTTAGATCTACTAAATATTATTACTAGATTTACTTAACTAGTAGACTTATTGCACCAACAGATAATGTGATAGCCTGTTCATCCTCATTGTGACAGAATCTGCACAGAGATGACTTTGTCAGCTTATGTTTTAAGACATTTCAATTAAGCTTGCAGTAGATTGCTGAGATTTTCCTTTGATATGTCCTGTCCATATTTAGATATAAATTTACTCTTCTTGCATAGGTACCATCCGGGAACTGTCTACTATGTAACTATTCCTTATTCTACCGATATTAGAATAGAATAGAATAGAAAAATAAACTTTATTCTGGGACAAAGTCCCTTAAGAATAACAATATTGATCATAAAAATTAACATTAAATCTGGCCAAAATACATATTACAATAAAAGAATAACTAAAACATAAGTAAAAAAAGAAGTATTTACATAGCTATACAGATATATTAAAGAAAAGAGATGAGCAATAAGGTCACAATACTGCAAAATACTTGATACAAACACTAAAGTAAGAAATAATTAAATGAAATTGAAAAAGAAGGATAAATTACTTTTGTTGTCAAACCATTGTAGTTATGAAAAAAATAATAATAAAAAGTAGATAAATATTTACAATAAATGATTTACATCTGTACCTTAGTATGTTCAAATGAGTACTTATAACGGTATTGTAAACATAAAAAAGTCTTATATAATCTATATACTAAGATGCAGTCTGATAGGAGAAAACAAAAGAAAAAAAAGATAATGAACATATAGAGGAGTGCGTTCAATATTAGTAAAAAATTAAATACATCTCAAAGACTTAAAATCTTGTAAATAGAAAAAAATAAAAAAAAATAATTCTGAGTGAAAAGCGACTGGAAATCTTTTCCATACTCATAATATATATATATATATATATATATATATATATATATATATATATATATATATATATATATATATATATATATATATATATATATATATATATTTATTATTTTTTTCTTCGGTTGGCGCTACAGACCATGAAGATCTTTGACCGCGAGTATGCCCGATTCCCAATTTAAAGTACGGGGCAGGGTCATCAATCTTATGCCCGATCGGTGTGAGTTGCTTCCAGTAGACTGACTGGACTCACATACCGGGGAGGGAGGGAGGAATCTTGGGCAGTGTGGCTTTCCTTGGTGGACGATCACCAATCCAAGTGCTAGCCACGCTCCGCGTTGCTTAAATTTGATTATCTATTGCAATCGCCTTAGCCCACAAGGCTACCCCAGCTCCTTATATATATAAATGATGTATAGTTACATGAAAAATGAAATTTAGATTAACTTATTTATTTACATAATAAATAACTACCCAGCATCTGATTGAATTGTAAGATAGGAATTGGAATAACAGGGTTTTAAATATAGATAAGGATGGTGCTTGGCAAATTTTAAGTGGGATGGAATTCCAAAAAGTGGTGGGACGGTAAATAAAGGAGTGTTGAAATCTTGTAGAGAGGGAGTGGAAAGGTGATTTGAATTGAAGGAGATTGTATGCGTAGAATAGACGATGATTATAGATTATTTGGTAAAGTAATGTGCCTAGAAAATATTATCTTCTGAAGAAGGGGAAGTGGCACCCTAACTAAGCGTAATAGTGGGAAACAAGAGAACATCTCGGGATTCCATTGACAAATCTTACTAAGCTATTCATGATTCTTTTTAGACTGTCTCCGAGTTCCGATGATATGCCACCGTTTACTATGTCAAGGTAGGGGAAGATGAGGGCGGATATTAGGAGTCTATGTGTGGACATGGGTAGGAGATGGCGGAAGTGATGGAAGAGTTTCAGGGTAGGAATTGAACGTCGGGATATGTGGAAAATATGGTGATTCCAGGAGAGGGTTTGATTTATGAAAATGCCTAAGGTTTTAACTGAAGAGCTGAAGGTCATGGGATCGTCATTTAGGTGCAGGAGAGGAATGTTGGTGTTGGATCTGAGAATGAGTTTGGAACCATTGACAATGGCTTGGGTTCTAACGGTGTTTAACCTTTACATTTGACCAGGCACAGATCCAATTTTTGTGATTTTACACCATACATTTTCCAAATTCTTAAAGCATCACAGTCTTCACATTTTTCTTAGAATAATTTTATTCTTCAAGATGATAAAATGTATGTAATAAATAATTAAACAACCAAGAAGTAATAACTGTAAGGAGTCTTAATAGAACTAATGAATTGTATTATATAGCTTGACCAAAAGCAAAATGAATCTGAGGGTAAATATTATGAGAAAAAAATTAAAGAAGTTAAAGCAAACATATCCTGATATATTTTAATTAAGTTAGAAAGTCCTTCATATCCTAAGTTAGAATTTTTTTTTTTTCGATGTTTAATTTACACTACAAACTAAATTTTGTTTACTATGGCTCAAATTTTATTGGTTTTATTGATGTGAGTCATGGTTTAGGGAAATGTTTGTAATCATGAACATTTCAATATTTTCCAAAATGATATTGAATTTCAAATTAAATATGACCAATCATAGTTGATTCCTCAATTATAAGTTAAAAGTTATTATACTTCTTTAAATATTACATACGCTTGGAAAAGTCATTTGAAATAAAAACACTAACTTGTGTTTTATTAACAACTTATAATTTGTTTATTTTAAATTTTGTTTTTTTATGAAATTATTTTCAATTACGAATATCAGAAGTTTACATAAATAATAATTTGTTTTTTCCAGATAACGGAAATTTTAGATCTGCTAAGATTAACGAATTCCAAAGATACATACACGGCCAGGCTCTCTGGAGGAGAGAAAAAGCGACTATCAATAGCTTTAGAGTTAGTAAATAACCCACCAGTATTATTTTTAGATGAACCAACAACGTAAGTATTATTTAAATAATTAAGTTATATGTTATTAAATAATTTGGCGTATAAAAAAAAATGAACGTTTTATGAAATTCAAGATTTCAAAGGACTGTAAATATTTTAATCCTATTTAGTACTTGCCAATACTTATTAATCCCTTTAGATCATTCTGTAAGCTTATTTAATCCCATTTGACTTCTTTAAAAAAAGCCTCAGTTTAATTATTTGTTTTAAAGAAGAAACATGACAGTGCACTACGGAATTTTCAATATTTTAAGTCATTATTGGAAAAAAGATTTTGCTGCCGCTGAAGCAACTTGTGAAATTATTAAATATGAAGGGAAAGGTGTCTTTGACCAGCGCACAGCGCATTGGTTTGAAAAATGTAGCAGTGGACATACGACATTGGAAAGGAAGAAGGGCTCGGGGCGACCATTAATGGATATTGATGAGGTTCTGCAGGAAGCGGTTGAGTCAAATCCGTCCAGAAGTACTCATGTACTTGCCAGAGAGTGTGGTGTGTCAAAATATATTGTTATTCGCCATCCATGGGGAAGGTGAAAAAGAACAGGAGGCAGGTTCCTCACGAACTTACTCCTCAGTAATCAGCTAAGAAATTAGAAATTTGTGAAAATTTATTGAAAAACTTCTGCCTCATTCACCATTATTCACCACTTATTTAGATCCATAGCCCACTTTCTCCAAGGGAAAAAATTTGATAATTTTGCGGAAATTGAAATTGCGGTCCAAGAGTTCTTTGACAGCCATCTCAAAGAATGGTATCAGTTTGGGATCGAGCAATTGGCTAGCAGGTTGCTAATAACGGGAGATAACAATGGACTATACTTTGAGTATTAATTGTATTTTATATCAAAGAAATAAGAAAAACGGTCATTTTTTTATATACCCTATTACCTCAAAATCTCTAATACTGTCAACTTAAATTTAAACTCAACATTTATCATTCATTACAATATATAAATTTGTTTTTTCTTACAGAGGACTCGATGATCTTTCTAGTGCGCAATGTATTACACTTTTGAAGAGCTTGGCAAGAGGTGGGAGAACTGTTATATGTTCTATCCACACACCAAGTGCAAAGCTGTTCTCTTTATTCGACAATGTATACATTGTTGCACAGGGACAATGTGTGTTTCAGGGTTGTGGTGATGATATTGTTCCTTTCTTAGAGAGTCTAGATATTCACTGTCCTAAACATTACAATCCAGCAGACTTTAGTGAGTATTAACTTAAATGTTTTCTTTTATCAATAAAATAGAAACAAGTATTTTGTTTTATTAAGATCCTCTATAGCAAAAAAGCTAAGTAGAAAAATATTTTTTAGGGTTCATTGAATATTTTTATTATTTTAAAAATAAAAAAAAGGACCCCAAAGGTTAATTTTTAAATGATAAATATTCTTTTTTTTAATGTACATTTTATTTAATAGTAAAATAGCATTAATAACTTTTTAAATTAATATATTTTACTTTTTTAAACGGAACATTTATGGAAAGCATAATAAAATTAAAATATGATTTTAGTTATAATAAAATATTTAGATAATAATAATAATAATCACAAAATCATACTATCTCAATATAAGTAGTGATGTTTTAATTTTTGATTCAATCTAATGTTTGATTCGATTACAATATTGAAAGCAAGTTAACAACATATAATTTTTTTAAAAATAGATACCACTATAAAGTTAACAATGTGAGTATTTTTAAAAGGAACATTTTCATATTTATCTATCAGAGCAATCTTTGATTTTTGAAGTTAAAAATCTGGTCACACACCTTGACCAGGTGTTTATTTAAGGGTTTTTAGTATTATCTTTAAGAGGGCCCGCTAAAAATTGGATTGAATTTTTCCTGAGATGCCCAAAAATTGGGATGGTGGCTATTTCACCATTCAACTTATTTATTATAACCTGAAAATTTGAAATATTTTCTTAAATTTAAATTCTTAGAAATTCTATTTAATAAATTGTTTTCACTGTGCTGATATTTTATGGAATCAGTTCATGAAAAGTAAAGGGGAAAAACAGTTAAGTTCCTTTTTATTTGTAGATTGATTAATTATTATAAATCAATTCAGAATGAAAAGCATTCTTCTATATAGTTAGAATGTAAAAAAAAATTAAGAAAAATTATGTCAATAAACAACATCTAATGTGTTTTTCACATTATAACTTTGTGTAGAATGTAGCTTTTCATTCAGAATTCATTTAATTGAATAACTCATGAAAATGACTTATTTATTTTTTCTTCTTGCACTTCATATAAAAATAATACAAAACTGAAATTTAATAAGCTTGAATGTTAAATAATAAATACGAAAAATAATATATATGTGCTCTTTATTTATTATATATTACAATAATGTAAATTTTGAATTTTTTTAGTAATTGATGTTTCAAGTGGAGAATATGGTAACCATCATGAGAAAATGGTACGAGCTATAGACAATGGAAGGAAACATAGATGGTCTAAGAAAGAAGAACCTCCAAAATTAATCAGACTTGACAGTGAGTGAAATACAGTTTATAACTAGTACAATAATAACAAAACCATGGGACAAAATATGGAAGGAAATCCTAGTGAGATAAGCCAAATAAATAAAAATCAGAAAATATATGTTACATTAGACATAACATAATTATTTCTTAATATTAATAATGAGTAGTCCACAAATTCTAATTGGCCATATTAGACAGAAAAAATGAAAACAAATTTTTATTAAAATTAGTACCTGTTTTATTATTACTTCCTTCGATACAGACTTGCCCAACTTGAGACTGCTGCAGTCTGCAAGGACTCGAGGACTGTGAGACAATGTTGGTGGACATCCTCTTGCATGATATACCTAGAAACCTTCCAGAACGTTTTCATATCTCTTGCCTCGTCATTTACTTATATTAGAATATTTAGATGTTTGAGGTAGTACTATAGATGTAAGGCACTGTCTCTTTTTGGGGAAATTAAAGTGCCAATAAAAGGAAATAAAATTCAACAGTACCTTATTAATTAACCATTGATGGATGTATGCATCGTCTAATCACAAATTAATTTTCACAGATTCCTAAATAATTACAAATCAATTTTCACGGATCCCAAAGTTGAAATTTTACATTTTGTAGTTTCTACACTACAGAGCTGAATGAGACTGCCATGGTTCTTGATTGTTCCAGAACAAGTCTTGGATTTATTGAGAACTCTAAAAGCACTTAACGATATTTATTCTAGCCATATGCAATTTTGAAAAAATAAAAAAATTACTAAAATTAAGTCTCAATTAAAGTTAGAAAATCAATACACTATGTTTGAGTGCCTGGACTCTTCCGAAGTGTTGGATGCCTACATCAGTTATTCGTTTCCCCTATCTCAGCTTCCCATTGGATAAGAAAAACTTTAATGTTTTAAAAAAAGAATAAATATATAAAAAGTATTTAAAAGAGAAATAAAATAAAAAAAAAATAAAGTAAAATAACAAATTAAACACAAGCATACTTATATTGTTGGTTTATAGAGTGCTACCAATGGGTAGTTTCTCAACATGTGTTTCATATCATTATATTCATGTGCGAGTTTACCAGATGTATTTTTTGTATACAGTTGTAAATATCATATAAATAAATAAATAAAATATTGTTGGTTTATTGCAAAAATTCATGAAACAACATTTTATAAAATTCAATAATTACATCCTTTGATAAACTTTTCTTCCTTGAAAACAGAACATTATGCATTAAGTATGGCATTTTTGATAATAATAGTGTTTGTGTCATTAATAACCATCTTGTCATCTAAAGATAAAGAATTTGACAGGCTCTCGACTCAAATATGAGTTCACCGTCGCCTGGGCCAGATTTTATCTTGACTTATATATGAGTCCACTGTCATTGAAGGGTTAAAATCCAGTCAATTGTATTAATACAATTAATTTAATGAATCCACAAAAGAGATAATTTTACTAAAAACATAAGTACGTTTTGGTATGATTAACATAAGTTTTTTGTAATTATTTTTTATATAAAAAAAGTAAATTTAAAAAAAAAATCCACTGTTGTGGGATCTCCTTGGTAAATGGTGCCTGGAAGGATCTGCTTCCCCCCCCCCCCCTCTAGATACTCCATTCTCCTTACTGACACCAAAGCTTGTTTCTTATTCAAATTATTTCAAACTGACTGATTTTATTAATTTTGTACACAAAATCATGCAGTTCTAGAAAGTAAAAAGTTGGTTTAATGAAATTCATAAATTTAATTGAATTTTTAATAATAAATTATCATAAATTTTTTTTAGGTGGGATTGATGATATAAAAGAAATGCCAGACTACGGATGCAGCTCTTTAGATCAATTTACAATATTATTGTCAAGAATGTCTCTTCAAATATGGCGTGACTGGGTGAGCAGAAAAAATCATGTTTAATAAATATTAGAGAACCCTTGTATGTAAATGTCTTAGGCTTTATGACATCATTTCAAGTTCAACTGTTTAATATAATGATTTGATCTCTGTGAAATGAGATTCTAAGATTAATGTGCAAAATTTTTACCTCTGTGTTGCCATGTAAAGTTTTTCTGCTCTTTGTAGCATATATAAGCAATGCGCAGTTTGTTAAAATAGTACTTTCACCACCCCCACAGTGATCTCATGATGTTATGGCATCTAATGAGTTGAATAGAATTAACTTATAATTATGGGGATATTTAAATTAAGAAGCGAGTCCTACCAATGGTATATTCATATAAAGATATACTGGAAAATAAAATAAAGACTTTGAAATGTATCAAGAATAAGGATAACATTTTTAAAAAGTATTAAAAATGAATCAAGAAGTCAGCCAAACGAAGACATGAACAAAAAATATTTCAATTAATTTGTATTTTGTTTTTTTAGAGTAATTTCTTGATTAAAGTTATCATCCACCTTGGTGTTGGTGTGCTTATGGGATCAATTTTCTACAAATATGGAAATGATGCTTCAAAGACTATCTACAACTTCGGTTTCTGCTTCATGTCACTGATCCTATTTATGTATGTGCCTATGCTTCCAGCAATTGTATGGTGTAAGTATGCTATGGTTTATAGTTTTTTTTTTAAATCTTAAAAATAATATTTTTTTATTTATAATTGTGAATGGTAAATATTTATTTAATCTGATCTTACACCATTTTGGATAAGTTATAATTATTTTTTTGGGATTAATCATCAGCATTATTGAGTAGACATTTAATTGGCAGGGAGAAGGAACAAGAGTTTAAACACAATTAGTTAATAAAAAAAATTATTTATAATAACAAAAGAAAAGAAAAAATGGACAAACCATACAACTCAATGGAAAAATAATACTTAACAAGTATCTCAAAATTTATTCTTACTTAATTTTTATTGTAGATTATTACATTTAAAATTTAAGGCTTTGGCTATAGTGTAATATTAACTTGATATCATTATTATTAACTGATTTTTAAATATTAAATAATTTATTAAAAATAATTATAGATCAGCACTGCATATCCTCATTAATATATCTGATTCACTTTCCTGTTTTGGATTGATTATTACTTTCTTAAGCTATTCCATAACATTTCTAAACGAGAAAATATTTTTGATGTCACTAACACTAGGATGTAGACTCCCAAAAGCTTAAACTCCTCTGTTTTGTCTTGTTTTTCCATTGAATGGTATTTATAATTGTTATCAGAATGGTTTGGGTCACCAATAATGTGGATAAAAACTGCCTTCTTCTTCAATGGCATGACAGACATACTAGGGAGTCCTTGGCCAACTCTCTTGCCCAAACTTTTCAATCTTCAGCAAGAGACAGTGAAAGGCTATACACAGCCAGATCTGCAGTTACTCATTACAGTTGGTCTTCAACGCTCTCTCACTCCCTCTGGAAGGCTAAAATAGAGTTTTTTGGCTGTCCGGTTATTGAAAATTCTTAATAGGTGGCCTAGGCATCTCAACTGTTGTAATTTTACGAATTCTGAGACTCTTAAATCTCCATAGATACTGTAAATTTCATTGTTTTTTCATTGATGCCACTCTCCATTATCTTTGATTAGACCTAGCACACATCTTAACGATTTCTGCTCAAACATATCCATTTTGTTAGCTGATTTATCATTTAACATCCATGTCTCACATGCGTAGGTCCCAATGGATTTTATTAATGTTTTATACGAGTATAGTCTTATCTTTGTTGTTCAACTGATCAATAAACTCTTTAGAAGATTCATGATCAAGTATGATGCTTTATTGGCAGCGGCAATGCGACCTCTGATCTCCTTCTTCTAATACAAGGCAACATTTATTTAGCTCCCAAGGTATTTAAAACTACAGACATTTTCAAAGGAGCTGTTGCCAACTAATGTATCTGTTCTGGGGATTCCTCAAATTCTTTCTCCTCATTAACATTATATTTGTTGGGAAGTCAGTCGAAACTGATGTTTTGTTATATAAATATTAATTAAATATCATTTCACATTGCTAAACATATTCATATGTGATAAATTATTATTATTATTGTAAAAACTCTAAAAGTCTCAAATTCTAAAATCTCTTTGCAAAGTTTGTGTTGAAATAAAGGTGAGTTTATTTCAAATACGGAGTACTCAAATTTATTTTATTTGAATATATGGATCAAATTTAACGGTTAGTTCTATATTAACCCCTAAACAGAACAATCTTTGTCTTCTAGACATTTACTTGAAGATTAAATGTCTGACCCTTTTCCTAGGATATTTCAAATGAATCTTTGATGTTTTGGAGGAACCTTCCAGCAATGGTGACATCATCAGTATATGCTAGTAACTGATAGCTTTTATTGAATATAATTTCCCCTATTTGCATACATAATGAAGATTTGCATGCATGATAATGTACTGTATAATAATATTAAAGAGAAGTGGAGCAAGGGGCCTTACCTAAGACCAGAGTTGACACAGAATGTGCGAGTTAGCTCTCAGTTCACTTTGATACTACTGACTGTGTTACACATTGTGCATTTAGTGAGTCGGATGAGCTTGGAAGGGCATACTGAGTACTTTCAATGGCTGGAAAAGTCTTTCTCTCACAATGTTATTATTTATTGTTTTAAAATCAATAAATAGAATACTCATTGTATTCTGGAACTCTTTCATTTTTTTTGCACATTGCCTCAGAGAGAAGACTTGGTCACTTGTAGATCTCTTGGTTTGGAATCCACCATGATAATCTCCAAGCTTTCTCTCAACATAATACAGTAGGTGGTTGTAGAGGGCCATTGATTATATCTTGTATGAAATATTGAGCAAGCTTATCCTCCCATATTTTTCAGTGTATGAAAATTGTTTTATCAATCAATTATATTCTAATTTAATTAAACATATACTAGTTCAAAAATGTGCTTCTAAACTACATAAGATAATCAACTACTGAATGTCATAAATCTTATCATATAATTATCTTTTTTAGTTCCGCAAGAAGTAAAGTGTATAAAAAGAGAGTTCTTCAATAGATGGTATGGTTTGAACGCATATTACTTCGCTCTCAGTATATCAAGAATTCCATTTCAGGTATGTTACTTATTTCTACTATTTGACTATAACAAAGCCACCTAATCATTTCCCCTCTGTTCCTATCATTGCAGATTATAATACTCATGAAAAAATAAATTTTTTGATCAGTTTTTGTGTTCAAATTTATTTGTCATGATACACTCATATTATTTATATTGAAACTACCTGTATTTTATTTATCTAGCATTCTATTTTTTTTAATAGTTTTATTTATCACATGAGATTCCCACTTATTCATTAATTCCATATAACAAAACAACATATATAAAAAAAAGCTTTGCGATAAAATAATGAAAATAAACTTTTTTTTTCACATAGCAAATATGCTGTATGTCTTCATTAAATTCTTTCACTATAATTGTTGAAATATCTATCATACATTCCAATTGATCTATGTCTATTTCAATGGTGAGAAATTACAATTTTTATATCTATAGACAATTTTTTTTTTTATGAGTATATTTTTCAAGTTTAATATGCACAAATGCATCTGTTTTATATTTAAAAAATTATGTTTGCTTTGAAAATTATTGGATATGTAAAAATGTTGTCTTATTTATCCATGTATCTATTTACTCTACTGCCGAAATTTGCAAATGATTTTTGTTTTTTAGTAATACTTGGAGATTACATTAATGCTGAAGGGCGGACCAATTCCTTATTTTAAAAATTATAAAACTTTTCATTTAATTACATATCGCAACTGTTAGTGCAAAATGTTATATGTAAAAATGAGTATTTTACTGATGAGCACATAAAACTGATTATTTTTTTTTATTATTTATTAGTATAATTTTATATTTCATTTCTCTCTGTTATTTTCCATGGTTATAGACTACTTATTGTTGTTGCAGGCTACAAAATGACACCTTTAGAACAAACAGAATAAACATTTAAAATTGTTACATACTATCTTTTGTACTAACAGTAGCGTTATGAGTTGAGCTCTTATAATCTCCTACTCTTTTAATACAAAATAAAAATTTATACTCTGGTGTATTCAATACGGCACAACATATATGTTAAGCTCCTGTGACCTCCTGCTTTCCTTATACCAAATAGAGATTTACACTCTAGTATCTTCATTACAGTCTTTTACCGCTTTGTATATGTAAAATAAAATATATCAGTCACTAAAAACTTTGTTATATAATAGAGAGATATTATTAAATCTTGAAATCAATGCATTATTCTGTCCTTTTAAATGTTCTTCGACCTTTTTAAAGGTCGTTTTATGGCACATTTAAAGGACATTTACATTACGTTACAAACAATTTAAAATTTTCAGCAATTATTTTAGCAAACTTTGTTAGAACTTAATTTCTACTTATTATTACTTGAAGGTTACAAAAAATACTTAATATATATTTATTTTACTTTTCAGATGGTTCAAGGCATACTGTATATAGCAATCGTATATCTTATGACTGAACAGCCATTGGAAATAGAAAGAATAGTAAAGTTTACCAGTATTGTTGGTCTAGTCACTTTATGTTCTGAAGCATTTGGAATGGCCATATCAGCTAGGCTAAGCATTGTTGTAAGTATATTTCATTAATAAAATACTTAAATTATTTGTTAGGCTTTATTTTTGCCCGGTATAATTATTTTGGTAAAATTAGAAACAAAGTTGTTGTTGCAGTAATGTTTGTTTGTCTCAAATTTGAAACTATTCTTTAATCTAGTGCATTATCTAACTTAAAAAATATTAAAGTCACAAATTGATCAAACATCTAATGTTTTATTAGAAATTTAATTTTTTTTTGTGGTTGGATGAAACTTTATATATTCATATTTACAAAAGTAATTAATAATAATACTAATAGGTATAAGCCCAATATGCACGAAAATCTGTACTATAATAGACTACTAATGATTCTGATATTATAATTAATATACCATTTATTTTATTAAAATGTTTTAATTAAATTATAATATTATACCTTTTAAAATTAAATACTACTGTGTATCTACCAGCATACATTTTTTATAAGCAAATAATTTTTTTTTTATTCTCAATAAGAGTTTCTGGAACTGTTTCACTAATTTTCTTATCTTTCGAATTTGAGCAAAAGTAGTTATGTCATAGTTATATATGTTAAATATTATATTCTTTATCTAGCATTAGAATAAAAAACATAATACATGATAAAACTGTAGAATTTTCAAATTCAGTTTTAAAAAACTCCAAATACTTAATAATTCTTAGTAAAAGCCATAAAAATCTTTACATGGACTTAAGTCTTCTTTCTACAGATTGTATATAGGATGGGGATAATTTTGCCAAGCTTTTCTTAGCGCAAACAAATATTTTATTAAAAGAGTATTATTAATTCCTTGTAGGAATAAAACTTTCGTTGGAAGATAAAACATTCTTTTATTTTCATATAATTCTCATTTTTCAAAAACTAATTTCATGACTTTTTGAGCTGCCTTTTTTTTTTTTAAATAATTAAGCAAAAGTATGTAAGTAATCACGCAAAATTTTATCAACTATTATAAAGAAATTTGTTTACTTTTCAGAATGGAATATTTGTAGGCCCAGCTCTATCCGTCCCCAATTTGCTTCTGTCTGTTTATGGAATGGGCTCGAGTATCACTACTGTACCCATGTGGATAAGGATATCGATGTACTTCAGTTACCTGAGGTTTGGTCTTGAAGGACTGATTGTAACCATTTATGGAGGTGCAAGAGAACACCTGATTTGCCCAGAAGAGGAAGTTTATTGTCCTCTGAAGATACCAAGACAACTTATGAAGGAAGTGGGAATGGAAGATGCCAACTTCTGGAGATCTTGTTTTTTCATGATGTTTTATTTTATTATTTTCAAAGTTGTTTGCTACTTTATCTTAAGGCAGAGGCTTAAGCGCTCACGTTCATCTGGCTTGTTTTGGCTTATTGGGAGATTTATCAAAACACATTTTAATCTTAATCATTGATATATGGATACATTAATATATTCATAAAGAAGAAGTTTAATGTAGTCCATTACTAGGGATTATAAAAAAAATTGAAATATCTAGGCTTATCAAATATAGGTTATATAAATGTTCAGGTGTTAATCTCAGTTAATGAGCAGGTGGTTTAATGCATCTGATATTTGCACAGGCCACATCACATTTACAAATTTTATTAAAATTCCATTTTAAAGTGAGGATTCAGAAATTTGATAGAGTAATTAAAAAAAAATGATATAATTTAGAATTTACGACTATAATTTGTCATATTTCTATGAAACTATACTGTTTTTACTTTATTTGAAAGCATTGTTGGCCATAAGAAATTACTGTGGAGTCTGTATGCCACTGATAGGCTGCCAGTTTGAAACACATAAAGGGATGAATGACATCAGTTTTTGTAAAATAAGCTCAATACTAGACACCTAAGTTTTTAAAGACTGAATTTTAAAAATATAGATCATGAATTATAATGCTATATATTTTATATGAACTATGTTTTTAATTTTTTTATATATAATGAGCAACATGTATAATCAATTAATTTTCCAATCTTGATGCATTTAATCTTGCCTTTTTTTTTTAAATACTAAAAGTGTTAGTATTACTTGATTAGGTTTTTCTCTCTTTTAGAATATAGAATTTGTGATATTTGTTTAGATAAGTGTAGGTAACATTAGTTTTGTATCAGTTAAAAACTGTAGATAATTTTAATGATATACTTGTTTATATTTAAAATAAATTATTTAAAAATTACATTTCATCAAGCAATATTGTCATACTTTATATTAGTTTTAGGAGTCTGAAGATGTGTACTTTGATAGCACATGTATACACAGATGGTTACAATTTTATTGAAATTAAGAAAAAGATTAAAGATAAATATATATTTTTAATATTGTATGAATTGAAAGGTGAATTAGGAAAAACAATTGAAAGCTTTTTCAAAATGGTATTTAGAAAAAGTAGGTATTTAGTTAAATATTGTCATTAAGTCACGATGGTTGTACATATTGAGGTTAGGATCCTGGAAATCCTCGTTTGAAAAGTTTATGGGCTTAATTCCATCCAGGTCCACTTGATTTCTATTTTGTGGCAATCCTACAAAAATAGTCTTGTCATAACTAGTATAGTACTGCAATTAAAAGTTAATCTTCGGTGTTTGGAAAAACGGTTAGTAGACCCACTTACTGAAATAGTTTCCCGACCAAGAACTGTAATAGTGTCAGTAATATTTTCACAATTCAAGTCATTTACTGAATAAAAAAAAAAAATTGTTATTAGAAACTAATAAAAAGTTCATAGAGGTTGTGGTTTTTAAAACTTATATATAGAATATATACATATCAATCATTTATTGTAAAATATTAAACTCCAACTTTCTTTTTATCAATAATGAATTCATGAATTATTGAAGGAAGTTAGTCGACTGTTCTGCATATTATGGGTAATAAATAGTCAGGATGCAATCATTGCAAATGTTTTTTATTGGTACAAACGTTTCAATCCCAGCATGTGGGTCATCATCAGGGCGTGCTTAGAGCACTAAAGTTATTCAAGTATTCTTATAATTAATTCTGAGTAATTGAATAACTTCAGATGATGACCCACATTCTTGGATTGAAACATTTGCACCAATAAAAAACATTCGCAATGATTGCTTTCTGACTATTTATCACCCATAATAATGAATTCACTATGAATTTTGGTTGTTTATGATAAGGTTTCTAAAATACAGAGATAAAAAATAAATGTTATTTTTATTCATAACTAAAAACAATCCAAAAACCCTCAAATATTTGGGAGGAACAATTATTGCAGCTATTGGACCTATTTGTAAATCTCATTATAATTGTTTATTTGTTATTACATCATTCAAATTCTTTCTTTTTTATTGTTAATCAATGAAATAGTTGATATTCATATTTTTCATTAGGTGTTACCTTATATGGCATATTTATTTTTAAAACCTCAATAGGTTTTAATTTAAAATAATGTTTTTTTGAAATTATGTATATATTAGTAGCAAATAGCATTTATTGTTGTTAGATTTTTGAGAATTATTATCTTAGTAGGGTTATCGCATAAAAGCCAAAATTAGTTTGAAAAATAAAACATTGTTGTTTAATTTTAGAACTTTTATATTCTACAGTTGCTTTGAGGTTATAAAAAAATTGTGTATATAGAAACGTAAAATTTTTGTATTTGTTAATTTATGTTTCTGTTTTATGAATATATGTAGGTACTGTCCTTTTTATTCCTAGCAAATGAATTTATTTTGTGATGCAATGTGACAAATTGCATTTATCTATAAATTTATATGGAACAATCCTTTATATTTTGTTTGGTATACCATCAAATAGATAAAGAAAATATTGACAATAAATAGATATTTTATATTTTTGTGATGTAACTGAATAATAATTATGAAATAAAATAAAAAATCTGTGATCTATAATTGTCTTTAGATATCCTTGAAAAAAAAATATATATAAATCTGTTTTGGGGTCTTAGATATATTCAAACACCACTATGGGGAAGAAAGGAGATGATTCCTTCTGGATGCCAGTGAGAAAGAGTGGAAAGTGCCATTTCCAGTACTGTATCTTGTGCAACCCATCGTTTTTGGTTTGCCAACTGGGAAGTGATAATTAGGAGACACTTTGAGATGATGTATAAATATAAATAGGTATAAACAAAAAATACAGTTGTCTTATCCTTGAACAAACCCAATCAATCATGTCAGATGCACAAACAAACATCATATGAATCTGAAAGAGGATGCTGTTACTGGGTAAGACAAAATTAAAAATTAATCTGCAACAAATATAAACAATAACTTTTCGATAAAGTGAATGACAGTGGCAAGTAGGTTGTTAGTATTTCAATATTGTGAAAGGAACTACAAAAAAAAAAAAAAAAGGGATACAAGAAAAAAATTAAATTAAAAAAAATTGCCCCTCCCACATTTTTTGAGCTGGCTATACCATTGTGGAATAGTAGGAAAAATCTTCCATTCCTAGTAGCTGGATCTCTCCCTTCGGAAAAAAATATGACCAACATGTAATGAAGTTTAATTGATTATATTAAAGATAATATATTGTGAAGTATAGATCACACAACAGAACTAATATGGACCAATGTAAAAACAAAATATTGTTTTTCCTTTTTGGGGTGTTTTCAGTCTGAAATCATCTTTCCCCTCCTTCCAGCTAATCTACCAGTGTCCCTGAGTATTTTTCTTTGTCTCCTGAGTTGGTGTGATTCTTAGGGAGAAGGGTATCTTTTGATTTATTCCTATAGGAGTACAACTTAAAATTTAAAATGAAGAAAGAATGCTGAGCAGTTCTAACATAAAATATCCGTTAGAGATTGATGAGGATCCTCAGAATTCTAGTAGAATCCACTAGGAATAATGAAACTACCAGAGGCTAACCTGAGGCAGTATTTTCATGTTTAGCCCTCTAGGATTACTGAACCTCATAGCTACTTACAGATTATAGAGGTTTTCTCTTCATGGTCAAAGACCACAGTAAAGACTATATTTCTGTCTTACGCACTGAACACATAAAAAGAAAAACATTTAAACAGTATATTTTGCTACTATGATGCTTTCTATCAAGTAATTAAAATTCTTCTTTTTTGGGAAGAGGAGGGTGCAGTTACCCCTACTTTGCCATTTCTGGTATACGCAGGGATTGCTTTTGAGGTACAACCAAACCTATTCAAACCACTGTGAGAAAGTTGAGAATCATTTCGTGAGTCTGCGAAGAAATAAATTTCAACCTGCCCAGGTCCATCCCTCCCTCTTCGAGGTCGATGGCGCATGAACTACCCCCTCCTCTCCAAATATTCTAAAAACAACCCCTCTTCTTAAAACCAGTGCGAGCGAAAGTAGGATTAGACAAATCGTAGATCATATACAATTACATTTGCTGTGGTCTGTCCCATATTTTCCTCCTAGTTCTCTTTTTGTGACTTTTTACTCCAAAAATTCTTAGCCTCGTCGAAATGTGCCCCTTCAAAAATTTTGATGGCGCAACTTGCGCCATGGAACCCCCTTCTGGTCACTCCTGTTTTGATGGAAATAAAATTAATACTAACTATTTCAATAAAATAAAAAATAATGCACCGCCTTTGCTATTCAGTTCTCTAGAGGAGACTGCTCAAACTACTTACACCTTGATCCCATCTGGATTCTGCAATATATTTATTGTTTTGCAAACAAAACTGTCCCTACTTGACTTAGTTATTGACAACCACTGCAGATTCATGTCATTGGTCAGTGCGTATAAAGAGATCCTTAAAGTTTGAAGAAGATAAAGGTTGAAGGAGCTCTGAGGGAGTTCCTAACTTTTCTCTATTACTAAGTTTAGCATCGGATCAGTTTGACGGCCCGGCCCAGATAACGCATCTCACTCAGCCAGTGGAGATAAAAGCACTCTTGCTTTTGGAACCTAAGAAAGACAGTTCATTGTCAATGCTAGCGGAATCTGATTCCCTCTCACCAGTTCAACATATTTTACTAGTTTATTTAAAAATCTGCGAGCAACACAAAATTTTCACTTACCGCTCTACTTGAATATAAATTGTTTTCCGACAATGTTGGGCTATTATAACATTTTTTAAGTGCATTTTTACTCGAGCTAAAGCTTAAAGTTTTTAGTTTAAAAAAATCATTAATACTATTAAAATAACAAAAATCCTATTTATTATATCGACGGTTAATTATGGATTGTACGACTATTAATTATTAAACTGTTTTTTTCCAAAGTTTACTAAAATGGAATTACGACATTTTCATTGCCTATCATAGAGGTCAAACATCGTCACACTAATTGTAAATCGATACTGTTGGGATGTCACAGAGGGAAAATTCGTCAAATTATTCACTGATTTAATTTTCTAAAAGTTTACATGATGATTTTTCGGAATAAACGGACGATAGATACCTAATTATTTAAATATCATATCAGATCTAGATTTATTAAACAACAGCAAATGTATTTAAGGTTACATATCCATGAAATATTTTTATATTCCACACAAATACTATGGAATAGTGCTTTAGACAATGCCATTGCCTCGATTCGGTGGATTTTAAATACTTCTTTCAAACTTAAAAAAAAAATTTAAACGTTTACACTTAGTAAGAAAATTTCATATACTTTCCATGGGAACATGTGATGTACGTTAAATAATGTTAGTTTTCAGAAATTATTATTTATATTTTTTTCACTTTCCGTGACCTTCTACAACTTTATTAGATATTATTTTTTCTAAAATTCTCCGCTTTCTAACGATACATTGTACGTATACCTTCTGACTATTATTTTTCTTCTTTGTTCAATTATCAAATTCTTTCAAAAGTTATATTTAGCCATTTCTTATAGTTACTTACTGTCAATAACAGAGAATTATTTTTTATAAAGGTACTTTAGAGGAAGACGTATATGAACAATTGGGCATTCGAGCTCTGTAAAGTGATATTAACGTGGGTAAGACCTAGCTGATATTAAAAGCAACTTAATAATACACTGATATACCGAGTTAAATCAAAATCGTTAAAGCCGTTTTTGAGAAAATTGTAAAAATGTGTTTCACCTTTAATATAAAGTGGCACTTCCATTTAGCCGATTTTAACGAAAAAGTTGCTATCACATCGGAACCATATACAAACCTTAAATATTCAACTTAAGTTTCGTACGACTTTTCGTTTTTGAGCTAGGTTGAACACAAATACACACAGAGACCATTTTGCAGGAATTGGTTATTTCAACTCAGAGGACCTCAAAACATGTATTTCTGTCGATAACTGAAATTCGAAAATTTTCACGATCTCCATACTTTTCCTTACTATATATTCCATATATGGATAAGTGAAAGTAAAAAGTTATTAATTTTCTTTATTCATTTTATGTTTAATCGATTTGGTTTGATTTCATGATTAACGATTATTTATTTATTAATAACTTTTCTTATCAAATCTACATTTTAATGTGGAATCTACTATAGACTAAGTTCACTTTATTATCATAGAAGCCAGGGAACATCAGTATACAAGAAGCCCTCTTGCCGATATATCTACTTTTCTCCATTCCTCGTAATCACTTATATGTAACGATGTTAGTCATTAAACAAATTAGGAATCTTGTTAGGTGAGGTAACATCTGGATGAAAGGTTTCCAGATCGTCGGATTGGTCGCGGTGGTCCAAGTAGTTGGCCTCGAAGATCTGCGCACCTCACAGTGGTAATACATTATTGTTAATGGGGGCTGCCTCAAAGTAAAAATAGATCCTCAGGTTGCACTAATTCTACCTATTAAAAATACTGCAAGCGTCATTTAAGGGATATATGAAACAACCAGAAGGATAACTGCCGCCCTTTGAAGATGAAGCCGAAAATTTTTAGAATTCAATGGTGGTATTTTCGAACATTTATTAAAATGAGACTTATGAGATGACCGAAATGCTAGTACAGGTATGAAATATTGTCTATTTGTGAAATTTTGTTCTAACTTCAAAGCTAACATTTAATATGTTTGGTCCAAATATCAATATTATGTTTGCTAGATATTAACCATTTGGTTAATAGATTTTATTTATTAATTACACATATTCGTGGCTCACAATAAATTTTCCATCTATCTCGCTATTCAGCAAATATGATATCAAGGAGAATAAATTATAGCATAGAAAAGATAAGAACAGTAATAACAAAAGAAAACGACAAAAATAAAAAACCATGAAAAAAAAAAACAAAATAGAAGTAAAATGAAAATATGATAAAATAATAACACACATACAAAAAAAGGTAATGCAGCAACTAGCTCACTGCAATAAGTCTCTTGGCCAGCACCTCAGCAGTCTTCTGGGCGGATTATATGGATATGTGGTAATAGAGCTTGAGTAAGTGGATTTGAATTTAGAGTCAGTCTGCCATGAAAATTATTAATGCGGTCTGTGGCAGTTTCCGTGATGAAAGGAGTGTTAAGTTCAGTGTGTAACGTAAGGTTTGAAATATAAAAAGGTACGTCTACAATATTCCGAATGACTTGACTGAAATGACTGGATGATTATATATTTGATTTCTTTGCTGTTCCCCATAGTTCGATTCCATATGTCGAAAGTGGTTTAATGAGGACTTTGTAAATAGTTAATTTATTCGTCACAGATACTTTAGAACGTCTGTCAAGTAGCCTAGAAAGAAGTCCGTAACGCCGATTAAGTACTTTTTTTAAATGTAATTAATAGAAAAGAGAAAATGTGACTGTATTGGGAATGAAATTTTTATTATAGGGTTAAGTTTAATAAGGTTAAAAAGTACTCAGACGATGTTAGAGGATGAGGCCTCACTGGAAAGTTATATAATAATTCGGTGAGGACCGCTCGTAAACAGCGGCGTAAAAGGCGCCTCAACAATGTATGCTCGCAGCGGGGGTAAGGCCCTGATGAACTTCACTTATCTTATTAAACCTAACGTCTCGTAGCTCTTAACTTCCTCCCTTCTAACCTCCTTGTTTTCCTCCCAACTTGGGCCCGGCTACAATAGTTCATGTACTATATTCAATTAATTACCCGGAAGTTTGAGCCTGGTTCCCGAAAAGCGCTGTCAGGAAGAAATTAAACTATGTCGTATTAAATCATTTAAAAGAAATCTCAAGAAGTGTGGAGGCGTTATTACAGGAGAGATCAGATTTTGATATTAGCTGAAGTTAGATATTCTAGCAGAGTATTTATAGTTCGCTTCGGTA